TGGAACAGGGCGTATGGGTTGACCAACTGATCCCCTGCCTCTGGGCCTGGTGTGGCTGAGAGGATGAGGGCTCAGAGCCTGAGGGGTTCTGGGAATGAAGAGTCCCCTCAGCCCAGGGCTGCTGCAGAGGACATGCTGGAGGAGGGGTCGCAGCGAGGATGGTGGCAGAGAATACACTGGGCCAGCCAAAATGCGCCTCCGAAGGAAGACTTGGGTTTTGTTATGGAGAAAGGGCTGGCAGGCCAGAAGGGACAAAGAGGTGGCCTTGGGAAGGCCTTTGTGTTGATTATTTTTAAATTGCATCCTTTTAAAAAATAAAGCTAGGCCCTGGCCAGTGTTGCTCTGTTGGCCAGTGCACCAAAGGGTGGCGGGTTCAATTCCCGGTCAAAGGCATGTATCTGGGTTGCAGGTTTGATCCCTGGCCCCCAGCCAGGTGCATGCGGGAGGCAACCAATCGATGTTTCTCTCTCTCTCCGCCCCCCTCTGCCTCCCTCCTTTCCACTCTCTCTAAAAAACCAATGGAAAAATATCCTTGGGGGAAGATTAACAACACCAACAAAAGAAGCTGATCAATGTTTCTCTCCCATTGATGTTTCTAACTGTCTATCCCTCTCCCTTCCTCTCTGTAAAAAATCAATAAAATATATTTTTTAAAAATTGATGAGAAAAATATCCTTGGGTGAGGGTTAACAACAACAAAATTTAAGGCTAAGGTGAAAATCTCCTTTGACCTCTACCCCCTGTCAGTTTGACATGTATTCTTCTAGAATATTCTCTCTCCTTTCTGTACCCTTACAAGTGCCTGTGTGGTTGTGGTTTATATAAAGGTCTCATGCCATATGCATTGCTCTCTCTTTTTTTAAAATGAATAATAACACATCTTGGAGAACTTTCCACATCAGGACACACTGTACTCGGTTCCTTGCCTGCTGTGGCATTGCAGAGCATGGGTACACCAGCAAGTATTGTTACCCTCCCCACCCATCGCACGCCCCCACCATCCACATTGGCTGTTTGCCAGTTTTCAGGTCATAAGCAACCCTGCAGGGATGGGCTTCCTCATGCCCAGGAGCGAGGGACTCCAGTGGTATTGCTGCGGTCACACAGGTGTGGTTTAAATGGTCAGCAGAAATTCCCAAACTGCCCCCCAGAGCAGCCATATCAATGTCCCCTCCATGAAAGGAACCTGGCCTTCAGC